TCTCAAATTTGGTGGAGATTGCTGAGCAAAAAAGGGTTAAAATTAAGGTTTGTGGCTAATTTTATTAATAGAATTTCAACATTGATCACCAAAAAATTTTGGAAAATACACTTCCCAATTGTTTAATGTTCAACTATTATATACTACTTTTTTAATAATTAATTTCCGCTTTTTACTCTTTGTTGAATTACTGAGTAATTACAAACTATCAAAAAAACGGACAAGAGTTTTAAAAAAAGTAGTATGTTGCCAATATGTGACACATCTAGCTGGCTATAACAAACAAAAATTCTCATGACAGGGGGTTCGGTATAAACAGAGTCAACTGTACAACGTTACTATCCTCAAAGTTGCACAGGTTTACTATGTTAACCCCAAAACTGTCATATTACATGCGCTTTTTTTGTTTTCTTTCTTTTGTTAATAAAAATGCCAAACAATCAAGAGAATAAAAAAAGAAAAGGAAAAGGAGTGGCAATAAGTGTTTATCATAATGGTGGTTATCGTCACTTGTCGTCACTCTAGTTCTATATATTTAAAAGAAAAAATATACTGATCAGCCATTACAAAAAAATTTCAAGAGGAAACATAAGTAAACTAGTATATTCCAAAATGAACAAGGTCTGTTATTTAGGTTTAATGAGAGTTGTTATGCATGCAGATTAAGGTTTCTGGTCCAAATTGATTTTTCAAAGCCCAAACTAGTTAGGGCAATTTGGGCTTCTCAATATTTTTATAAGCATGAACATTAAAAAACTATATGAATCAACTTGTTTTAACTTAAACAACTTTAAAATAATTTTGCCCAATTTCGGCTAATAACAAAAAGTAGTTTGGGCTTATGAAAAAATAATTTTTGCCCAAAGTATTTGGGCAATTTTGGCTACTAATAGAAGCAGTTTCAACCAGAAACCTTAATGCAGATCGAAAAAAGCAAAAATAATCATCATAATGAAAACATTACTAATATTTCTTCCATCTTAGACTATTTATTCAGTTTCCTCTGGATCTACTGGATCAACATATGTCCCTAGCAGTGATGATAATAGTAGTTCTAAATTTTCTGATGATGAAAAGGAAAACAAAATTTCAAAGAAACATGAGCAAACCAAAGGAGCAGCTGGTCGTTTACAATGTTTTAAAGGATTGGGAGAAATGAACCCCAACTAGTGATGTTAGCCGGCTAATAATCTGCATACTTAATTTCTAAATTTGGTAATAGATTTCCGCGTTACCTTCTTGTTATAGAAATAAAGTTACCAATTTAGGTAGTAAAGGCTTAGCCGGCTAAGGATTTTTAAATGGCCAACATCACTACCCCCAACAATTGCAGGAAACTACCATGGCGGTGTTCAATTACTTTGTAGGTCTTGGTAAAATTGACTTTGGATTGGAGGAGGGTTCTGTGATGGTAAATATAATCAATGATATGTAGATCATATATTTTATATATATATATATTTTAATGTTGTTTTTCTAAACAGTGGGTTATAAATGGAGTGAATTTATCAAAACTCTATTGAGATAATGTAATCAAAAAAGCCAAGAAAAGAATAAAATTGTTATCTGTCAATGAAGAACTGTTTGTATCAATAATATATTGTTGTATTGCTATTTAATATATATTTTTGAATTTAAAAATTTTTTTTTTGTTTTCAGAGCACTCGGTCATATTTTTTTGCTAGAAGAGAAAAATAAAATTATTACCACCTGAACTCTTAATAAATATACACAAATACCATGAAGATGTGCATCATTGTGTTGCATTCTTGTCAACAGACGATGGCATAACATCAATATTCCAACCTTATGGAGAAATCCATTTGGAAGAATAAATAAGGTTTAGGAAATTATTGTGATGATCAGTGTTGGCAAATTTGTCCAAATACCCTTGTCCGATTGTCCAATTTGTGTCCAATTTACTGTATTAGGTAATTTGGACTAATAGTTACTGTGGCATTTGGAC